AAGCTTTACCAACACTTTTGGATGTTTTGTCACTTATTCTAATCTGAAGTACACTTAACTACTGTATTTTTTCTGATGCTTAATGATTTATTCATCATTGAAAAAAAAAAAAAAACGTAAGATTCATAGGTGGAGTTGTCTTTCTAACTTAGTCAACTTTTTCACCAGGGATTTTGGTTGCTTTCAAAGAAATCTTGATTGTTTTTAGTGGATAGAATTTCAGAAAAACATTTCCTTTGTTTTCCGATATTGAGGAGTGGTAATGCAGGATCTTAACATGTCCTTTAGTTGAAAACTTTCATTGATATTCCTATAACGAACCATTCAAATTACCGAGTACACTGTTGGTCCGCTTGGATAATTAAGTTTGTTGCCCAAAATTTCATTTTACCTTTTTTTTTTTTTATAACGGCAATAAATTTTATTTTTTGGCAAAAACGCATTTTTAACCCCTCACTTTACCATATTTAAAGGTTCTAACCCCTCACCTTATATTATGACACTTTTAGCCCTTCACCTTATTAGATTTGTAAATTTTAGCTCTTTGCCTATTAAAATTAAAGAAAATAGTTCTCAGTTTAGATTGACTGTTAATTCTGTTAACTGAGAGTAGATTTTTATCAACTAAAAGTCAACTAATAACCAATTAACAAAATTAACAAAATATTATAAAATTAGTTCTATTAACTTTGTTAGCTGAAAGGAGATTTTTAATAGTTAACAGTCAACTAATAGAGTTAACAATCAACTAATAGAGTTAACAGTCAACTAATAGAACTAACAAAATATTACAAAGTGTGAGTTATTTTCTTCAATTTTAATACGTGAGGGGCTTAAACCTTCAAATTTAACAAGATGAAGGTCTAAAAAGTATAGTTTTGCCTTATTTTTTAGGGAGAATAATGGATTCTGGGATCCAATATACATGATACTAACAAGGACACAGATATTGTAAAATGTTTATTAAATTATTAAATTTTTGATTTTATTTGTTAATATTTAATAAAAAAAATTAACATAAAGAAAATTGATCAAAAAATTTAACTAGTTAGCCCTACATATTTTTCCCCCAAGGTGACACATCCAACATCCACCCAGGTTGCTCGGCGAAAGACCCAGACCTAAGCGGCTATGGGCGATTCCTCTTGTCATTTTTCACTCGAGAAAGGAGAGAAAAGGAAGCAAACGATTGAAATTCACAAGTTTATTATCATTGTTATTATTTTAAAAAAATTAAGACAATTCCTAAAGTGTATGCACAGCCAAACGCCATACATGACCTAGGCTTGCAGCAGATGTTCCGTTGGGTATAGAGAGGAGACCTTCAAATTCAAAGTCAACTTCATAAACCACAATTTTACCTACCACAAAAGATTGGAAGAAAATTCAGAGAAGGATCGTGAAAGCAGCGGGAGGGAGGGAAATGGGGTCCCTGGAATCGAGAAGTACCCTTACTCGTCAAGCCCGTAATCCTCCCCAAAATATTTATCAACTAAACCGTTTGCCATATTTCTCAAGTCTTCATTTTCATGAAACTGGAATCTTTCCATGGCATCAATCCCATCTTCTCGTTCAACAAGCTTTGGACCCTCTCCGTTTGGCATTCCCCTTAAGACCTGCACGAGGAATTAACTTTGTGTTAGGAACAAAGTTTTGCCATGATGAAAATAACATCAACAATAAACTTGTCCATATAGGGAAGGAAATCCGAGGTATTTAAGTGCGGCAGATGGTTGAGTTTTACACCATGTCAAAAGCGTTGATCATTTCATTGTAACAACCAAAACAACAACCAGTAAACTAGGATGGAATCAATTAGGACTGCTGATCCAATATTATAAGTGCTTAATTGATGCAAAAATTGTGAGAAAAGCTAATTACTAGATTTACTCACCAGCTCCATAAATTGAAGTCCTACTCTTGCAGCCTCGGTATCAGCAGATCTGACCAAATCAATGAAAACAGAGGAGGCACCCTTTCTGAACAAGGGAAACCAAGTGGTCCACAATCAGATTTGGCTTTCCATCACCCTCTGCTGGGGCAACACAGATGTTTTCCAAGACATAGGCCACTTCCTTTCTCATATCGAAAGGGACCAAAGAAAGAAGGCGTAACAATAAAGGCAGTGCTTCACTAGAATATGTCAGCTGCTAATGCTCGATGGAACCAGCAGCTTGACATCTTGAATCAATAATTCATTGACAATAGAGCCATAGAAAGAGAAAATGACAGTAACAAGAGTAAGACAGAATGATATGCCTTGGAATAACAATAACAATGAAATATTATTTCTTCATATAAAATGTAAGACATATATCAAAGTTTAATCTAAAACTAAGAGTTCAGATAGGCATACCCAAGTTTACAAAGTCACCAAGACACAGGTCAAAATGGAAACAAATCCCAAAGCCATAAGCTTCTTTTTTTTTTTTTTTGGCCTCCAAGAGCTATAAGCTAATTTGGCAAACTCCTAAAGATAAATGTAATATCTTTTCAGTTGGAAGTTGTTAAAAGAATTATGTGAATAAATTACCATAAAATGCAGTGTTTTGAACACTATGGGTAGAAAACTGACACTTACCTCAATAGGTCATTCCCATGAGGAAACTCATGTGCAGATCCAACAATCTGCAATAACATTAAAATTTAAACTCATCAACTTATAAGTGATCATAGAAAGAAAAGTTCAGGTACATGGCAAATAAAACCACCCAAGAAACCACTTGAAACTAAGGTTTCTTTAATCATTTAGAGTCCTCTCAAAAAATGTATAGCTAGAAGAGAGAACAGTAATGCAGAATGGTAAGCAGTTTTTCCAGTTGGGTTATTATACAGCGATCGAAACATATCAACTTATGATTAAACACATTTCTTTAATTATATGTATATATATACATACATATATAAAAGGTTTCATTGTTTGTTAACTAACCACCTTTTACCAAAATCCTTTGACTTGTATTTTACCTACAATGTTAGATTTTTAACGTAAGAAGAGGCTGAGAGAGAACTTGGAAGAGAGTAGGAGAAGAGTAGAACTTAGAAAATGATATAGAACATAAACTTGGAAGGGTGCAGACATTCACCCAACCGGTAGGAGAGGAGAAATCGTTCTCCAACTCTCTCATTTTTCCATTAACATATCAGCCCATTTATAGCAGAAAATTCAACATAAAAATAGTATGTTTCGCCCACTTTCCATGATTTATGGTTATATGTTTCCTACAAAACCTATCCTAACATTTAATCAAAGATTGTAATACATAAACTAACATTAAAAGTACATTGAAACGCACTTTTGTTGACTAATTTGCAGCCTCCATTTGCATTTCATTTGCATTTGCATTTCATTTTCTTTGAAAATGCAGCAGTTTGCTGCATCTTTGATCTTTCTTTCCTCCATTGAACTAGCTTTATTGCTGCACATTTTGTCCCATAAATGCAGCTTCTTGCTGCACCATTTTTCTGTTTTGTGGTAACATCATATCTTTGATGCCACTGCTCCAACACTCCTCCTTGGCATAAAAGCTATAAGAAAAAATACTTTTCCACCTTGCATAAGAACCTGTCATTTTTTAGCTTCTTTGTGCTTGGTGTTGGTTAAACCTCCATCAGACATTTTTTGCCGTGAAGCTGTGGGAGTTTAGAACATCAAAGCCACATCCATGAAGAGTTTTCTTGGGAAAACTCAAAACATATCCATAGTAAACATAAAAGATGGATGAAGAACATACCATGAAACTGAGTTTTTTGTGCTCAGTTTCCAATCCCATCAACCATGATTGCCTTTTGGATTGATTTTGGAAACAAACATGTAACCTTCTCTTTGAATCCAGCTTTCCTCTCCTTGACATCTCCCATGGTGGGACTAACATATGCCTCCACCTTCACAGCCTTTTTTCGTGCAAGATTTTGGCCAAGAAAGAGGGGTTTCACAAGAAGAACCGTCTGACAACAACGAGAAAGGTAGGTTTTTTCTCGTGTTCCCTTAAAAAACCAACTCTCACAGGTCCCTCAAGAATTCAGCTCTAATACCATGTTAGATTTTTGAGCTACCAAAAAAGGTTTGAGAGAGGACTTGGAAGTGAGTAGGAGAAGAGTAGAACTTAGAACATGATATAGAACATAACCTTGGAAGGGTGCGGCCATTCACCCAATCTGGAGGAGAGGAGAAATTGTTCTCCAACTCACATGTTTCCATTAACATATCTGCCAACTTATAGCAGAAAATTCAACATAAAAACAGTATGTTTCACCTACTTTCCATGATTTGTGGTTACATGTTTCCTACAAAATCTATCATAACATTTAATCAAAGATTGTAACGCATAAACTAACATTAAAAGTTCATTGAAACACTATCACATTTCTGCAATTTTGTTGACTAATTTGCAGCCTCCATTTGCATTTCATTCTCTTCCATAATGCAGTAGTTTGCTGCATCTTTCTTTCCTCCATTGAAGCAGCTTTATTGCTGCACATTTTATCCCATAAATGCAGCTTCTTGCTGCACCATTTTACTGTTTTGTGATAGCAACATCACAGCTTTGATGCCACTGTCCAACAGGCAAGATGTAACGCATGAGAAAGAATATTCTCATTATATAATTAAGCACAGTAATACACTATCAATATATGATCTTTTTAGGCTTAAAAACAATAATAAAAAAATCTATGACCTGAAAAAAAATTTCAAAATTTCTAATAAAACATAAATTACGTATTCGAATGTCCACGAAAAACTCCTGCAAAAATAAGATGATTTAAAAATGCTTATACTATAGAGGACTGCTTAATGCAATTTATGACCTGGAGCAGTTTTATGAATGTGAGAGTTCAAAATTCTTAGTTTTAGATGAGTGTAATAATACCATAGAGGATTTCGCAACAACTTGAATCAATCAATTTTAAGAAGCCATTAAGCTTCATTGATATTATTATAGCAACTTGTTTGAGCAAAATATTTTAATATTTCTTTCCAAAGAGATATAACCCGTGATCATCAATGGCTTAGGATCCCTTGCTTAAATTTCCTCTTTCTCCATCCCTTTGGTTTGGTTAGGGTATTGATCGTCCTCATTCCCTGCCCATGTTCTTTTCCCTTATAATAATACTGAATTTTACCCAAGAAAAATTAGATGTTGAAAATAAGATTGATCACTTCGACTCTATATCTCTCTGCTAGTTGCTCTTCTGTTTCCTTAAAGCCACCATTACAAACGAAGATTGATTTGCTTACTTACTCGAAACCTTCTTTGCCATTTACCGGGATGTGTCAAAACTAGGGAACTCGATTGGAGTTCTCATTAGCCGTAGTAGTAACAGGATCCGCCAGTGAATCCCCCTTCCCGATCTGTATCAACTGTCAAAATTGAAGAAGACAATTGGAGTTCTCATTAGACAATAGTTATCCAAAGCAGACAGAAAAGAAGACGAAATCCACATGATAAAAACCTTTATGAGCTCTAAGTAGCAACTCCTTACCTCAACGCTCACAAACCCTCCGAGAATTGAAGTGAATAATAATCGTGGGTGGAAGAAGTGGAGATGCTGATATCCAACCATAAAACGACATGAACCTAAACTTAATGGGCCGACTATTCCTAATGGGCTACCATTGGAAACCCCTTTAATAGATGCAATTATGTATGGTAGATTGATAAGAAATTTTTTCTCTTTAAAATTGAAAATTTTTGGTACAAAAAGGCTTTTTTTATATTAAAAAAATGCTTATAATCAAGTTTTACCGGCGCTTTTGAATGTTTTGTCCACTTAATCTGAAGTATACTTTAACTTTTTTTTTTTATGATGCCTAATTCTTTTTTTATACATTTTTAATAGATTTAGTTTAATTTATTGATTTTTAAGACAAATTTTAAATAAAAATTTAATAATTTATATAAATAATAATTAAAAAAATTTTCATTAAATAAAAATATTTAACAAAAATTATATACAAAAACAAAAAATTTTAATTATTATTTATATAAATTATTAAATTTTTATTTAAAGTTTATATTTTAAAAATATAAAAATCAACCTATATTTATTAAAAATAAACAGAAGAAGTACTTATTCATTGCGAACAAGAATGTAAGATTCGTATATTTCATAAAAAAAAAGAAAAAAAGAAGGTAAGATTCGTAGGTGGAGCTGTCTTTCTAATTTGGTCAACTTTTTCGCCTGACATTTTGGCTTTTGCTTTTAAAGAAATCTAAAATCTTGGTCGTTTTTAGTTGACAGAATTTCAGGAAAACATTGTTTTTGTTTTCCGATATTGAGGAGTGGCATTGCAGAGAACATGAAATATTATTATAGGAAAATGATCCATAAATAATCTCAAGTTCGGATTTTGAATTAAGTTGGAAGGAATTTAAATAAAGAAGAGTATTATTTTTTTTTTGTAT